CTTTTAAGAAGGACTCTTAGCAATTAGCATAACATAATTTTTCTAGTTATTTAGTCCTCTATATTTTGGTATTATTTTAGAAATTATCTTAAGGTCATTTAAAATATTTACTCTCTCTTTTAATGGTGTCTTATTTCATGCTCTCACTTTTTACTTTCTAGAAGCAACATGGCTATTCCTATTGGAAACCATCTTCCCCAAAACCTTCATCCTAAGATTTTACTTGATGTCTCCAGCTGTGCGGCAGGAGCCTTATAGAGCACATTTTGGTATATTTGAATGGAGCAAAGTAATATGCTGTATCCTGGATGCAGAAAAGTAAAAGGATACATTATAAACTGTGCCATGACAGCTCTGCCAGCTACCAGGAAATATACAATGAGCATGATCAGTGATGTGATCATCTGTCCACTAAGAGGTGGTGAAAAACTCCTATATATTTCAGGAAACTGATGGGATTTTGGTGGCAATAACTTTACATCACTAAACCAGCAATGCAAAGTTGAAAGCTTTCAAATATCATCACTAATTCTTTAATTTGATCTCGAAGAGATCAGAGGTGTGAGGAAGGAAGTGCAGGCTCAGGCTTGACCCTGCATGGAAAGTCCTACTCCCCCAGTGCCTGGGCTCTCTGAAAGGTAAACACTAATATGTAGTTTTTGCAACTGAGTGCCACTCAATTAACAAGTTAAGTTGAGGCGCCTCAAGTCCAAAAATTTTGAAAACCACTGGACTAGATAAAAAGTGGATAATTAACTGGTTGAATCATCATACTCCATGGCTCAATATTTAGCTGGGAGTAGGGTTCTCCAGATGGTCTGTCATGGGCCTAGTATTAATTAGGGCTGTGCAAAATCTTGCCAGGCATTTCAAAGCTGTTTTGACGCATTTTGAGCTTGAAACAGCAAAATCGAAACAAAACAAAATGCTTCGAAACAGCTTCAAACCTAAACCAAACGAGGGCAGGCATGCAAAACGTTTCAAAACATTTAGAGTTTCGAAGCCAGGTTTACTAGGCTTCAGCACTGGTCCCAGGTGACAGCAGCAGCTTCCTTGCATCCAGCACACAGATTTGGGGGGGGCGGGGAGGGGTTCGCAGCATGGCTTGGCCCCAGCTGCCAGGTATCTGCTGCCTCTGCCAGCAGAAAGCTGGGGGGGAGGTTGCAGCTGGGTGGGGGCCACATGGGAGATGCTGGAGCTGGGTGGGGGCTGCATGGGAGATTGTAGCCAAGGAGAGAGGCATGCAGGGGGCGCTGGGACCGGGTGGGACAAGCAAACTGAGCTTCCTCTCACTAGGGCACAGATCCAGGTGCTCATACCCCCAGGAGGGCTTCTGGGCTGTGCCAGATTCCTTCGGGAAGCATAAGCCCCAGATCTGCGTCAGATGACAGGAGGCTCAGGCTGTTGCCTGGGACTGGTGCTGGGCACAGCCCATGCCCAGTGCCAGGGAACATTGCTGCTGCCGTCAGTCAGCAGCAGCCTCCTGTCATCCAGGGAGGAGTTCGGCACAGCCCCACAGCCCTCCTGGGGGTGCAAGCCCCCGAATCTCCATGCCGGTAGACAGGAGGTTGCCAGGCGGCAGCAGCAATCTTCCCCAGTACTGGGTGCGATCTGCACCCAGACCCAGGCAGCAGCCTGAGCCTCTTGCCATCTGGAGCAGACAGGGGGGTTCGCACCCCCGGGAGAAGTCTGGCAAAGCCGGGCAGCCACCCCGGGGGTGCAAGCCCCTGCGTCTGTGCCCTGGTGAGAGGAAGCTCAGCCTGCTTGTCCCATCTTTGGACTGGGACCCCCTTGCTCGCCTCCCTGCCCGGCTGCAGCCCCTCCACAGCTTACCAGCATCAGCAGCCGCGCTTCTGGCTCCCTGCACAGCCGGGGGACAGCGTGGCTTGCCCCAGCTGCCAGGTATCTGCCACAATGCACTGCTGCTGCCCGGCTTGGCACAGGCCCCTGTGCTTTCAGGCAGCTCTGGGCTGTCACTTGGGGCTGTGCGCCATCTGCGGGGACCGCTGGCCCGGGTCCTGCATGCATGAGGCCTGTGCACTGCTTCTGTGGACACAGGACCCAGGGCTGTATGGCCAGCTGTCCCCGCGAGCGGCACGCAGCCCCGGGTGACAGCCCAGAGCTGCCTGAAAGCACATGACCCTACACCGAGCCAGGCAGCAGCAGTGCGCTGTGGCAGATACCTGGTGGCTGGGGCCAAGCCGCGCTGCACCCCACCGTACAGGGGAGCAAGACCGTGGCTACTGATGCTGGTAAGCTGCTGGGTGGGGGGACTGCAGCTGAGCAGGGAGCAGGTGCCTTTCCCAGGTGTGACAAGCAGGCTGAGCTTCCTCACCCCAGGGCACAGATCCCAGGCCTTGCACCTCCAGGGCTGCTGGACTGTGCCAGACTCTTTCTGGGGGTGTGAGCCCCTGGCTCTGCACTAGGCACAGCCCACGCTCAGTGCCTGGGAAGATTGCTGCTGCCGCTAATTCAGGGCAGCCTCCTGTCATCCAGCAAAGCTCTGCGGGCCTCCTGGGGGTGCGAGCCCCCAGATCTGTGCCGGATGAGAAGGCTCAGGCTGCAGCAGCAGCAGCAATCTTCTCTGGGCACAAGCTGCACCCAGCACCGGTACCAGTCTCAGGTGGGACAAGCAGCCTGAGCCTCCTCTCATCGGGGTGCAGATGCGAGGGCTCACACCCCCGGGAGTGCTGCTGGGCTATGCCGGACTCCTCCCAGGGGTGTGAGCCCCAGGATTTGTGCCAGATGAAAGGAGGCTCAGCCTGCTGCCAGTGCTGGGCATAGCCTGTGCCCAGTGCCAGGGAAGACTGCTGCTGGCACCAGTCCCAGGCAGCAGCAGCAGCCTCCTGTCAACCCACATGCAAATCTGGGGGCCCGCACCCTGGCAGACCCGGGGGCTCACCCCCCCAGGAGGACTCGGGCACAGCCCCACAGCCCTCCTGAGGGTGCAAGCCCCCAGATCTGCGTGCCAGATGACAGGAGGCTGCTGCTGCCAGCAAGCATCAGGACTCTTGGTTTGAACAATTTAAGTGCAGAGGTTTCTGGGAAACTGCACCTCATCTCCTTGAAACTTGGCAGGCTTCATGCCTGCAGAAGGGGCTACCATCTCTGCAATTTTCATTCAAATCAGGCAAAAAAATTACAAAACTTTAGGCATTTTCATGATTCCCCATTATAGCCTATGGGCAAAACAATGAAACAACGAAACAGTTTTGACAAAATGAAACAGGACAGTGCTTTGAAACAAAAAGACAAAACTAAAGTCCCTTCAAAACGGTTAAACAGACGTTGAAAGAAAACAATGGTGTTTCACACAGCCCTAGTAATATCTTCATTAATCATTTGGATGACAGAATCAAGTGGATGCTTAGCAAATTTGCAGACAACAGGAAGTTGGGTGGCATTACAGCCCTTCTGGATTTAGGGATACAATCAACTACAAAAAATTTCCAATCAATCTGAAGTCCTGCACCTGGGATGGAATAATTGTATGCACAAGTGCAACCTGCGGAATGACTGGTTAGGCTGCAGTACTGCAGAAAGGGACCTGGGGGTGATAATGAACAAGAAGCCGAGACAACCATGTACCAAAGTAAAGCCAACAGCATCCTGTGCTGTACTAAGACAGGAGTGTTGCTTGCAAATCAGGGAAAGTGACTTTTTCACTATATTCAGCACTGCTGAGGCCTCACTTGGGAGTACTGTGTCCAGTGTTGGGTGCCACGCGTTTAAAAAAAGAAAATGTACTAATTGGAAGGAGTCCAGGACAGAGGAGCAAAAATGATTAGGTTCCTGGAAAGTAACACATATGAGGAGAGGCTGAAAGAACGAGGGAAGACTAAGGGAATCTTGATAAATCTTCAAATACTTGAAGGGCAATTAGAGAAGATGGAAATGGGCTTTTCTGTGGCCACAGCTGACAGGACTACAAACAATAGCTCCAAGTTGCAGCAGAGGAAATTTAGATTGAAGATCGGGAGGAACTCTCTCTGACAGGAGGCAACCATTGGAACAAGCTACCTAGAGAAACTCCAGAACCTTTACACTAAGAGTGGTCCTTGACTAACTCATCCCAATCAAGTGTCTATAACCTTCTCTTGAAAATTTTTATCTGGAGCAAGGGCTGGACTAGATGATCTTATGAGATTTTCTTCCAGCCTTACTTCCCCCAGGAAGAGGAAGATCAGAGTGGCACTCATGGAGGCTGTGGTGAATTTATAGTACGCCTGTCAAAGGTTCTCTCATCATTAGTACCCTGAAAATACGAGGTGACTCTACTTAAAATCTGTGCCACATGTTAAAGTGCTATCACTATAATTCTGTTAAAACAAAATCCATAACAGCTTAACTAGGGCTTTCCAAGGTACAAAACCATTCCTCAGACTAACAGGTTTGAATGGTGATGAATGAGGTCAACATACAACCTGCCTTCCTGTAACAAAAACACCATTTGGCTCCATTCTGAGACTTTAGTTAAATATACTAATTGAAAATCCACAATATCTGGTTGAAGCATCTACCATTAATTCAGAATCTTTTTAACACTTCCCACATTTAACTTTGAAAAAATATTATTCACGACATATAATATTCCTTATTCCTCTAGCTCACTTTATCATTTTTTCTCCTGCAAATACCAACAAGGACAAATTTTAGTTTAATCAACACAAAAATTAAATTAAATTACATTACTTCAAGACAACCTATCTGAAGAGAAGGGTTTTCCAAAAAAATCAATAACCTATTAGAACAGAGAAGTCTGGACAGGAGCATAATACTATAAAAGACTTAAGAGATCGTAAAGGAAATATCAAGCATTAGTTTGCTATACATTTATCAAAAAAAAACAACCAAAAACAACCCCCCAAAACTACTATGCAGTTCCTATGTGCCTTAAAATACAGGCATATCACATCATGGAGCAGTTTAATTATCCCCGATTGTGGTATAATTCAGTCATTTATGTACAAGACTTATGCAATACAGAGCAGCAGAAAGTGACGAGGAACAACAGAGGCATGTTAAGACTTATGAACCTGTCTCAACAAAAGGACTAAGAAGGGAAAGGAATTATTTAAAAAGGTACAGTGTGGTACAGAAGTTGACAAAATGAAATTATGATAAGTCATAAACATTTATTTCAAACAGTGAAGTGAATTCAGTTGCACAAGAGTATCTGTAAAAGCACAAAGCAGGAATTCTATACACAGGTAGAGAAATATGTAAGACAGCGGCATTCTCCAACTGTTTCTCTAAAAACATAAATTGTGTATGTGAAATCAAGCATTGATTTTTATAATATGCAAAACAGCACCTTTCAGTAAAGTCTTAAAAACTAACTATAATACTCCATGGACATGAAGTACGCTTTACCTCAGAGATCCCCACCCCATGAGTTTGACTACTAACAATTTATCTGATAAATTTGACTGGTAAACTTATCTTTGGCCATAGCCAGACACACCCACTTCCCAAATTTTGGCTCCCCATTAGAACGTTTTTTTGTTAACGATATATTTAAATTAGAATAAATGACATTGCGCAGGAATTAACAAGATGTGTTCACGCATTCAGCATTCCATTTAGAAAAGTCTTCTTCAAATGATAGAAAATGTATTAATTTATGATTTGGGGGAAGGGGTTAAGTGCATTCCTGGGGAGAGGCTGAAAGAGCGGGCAAGGCTTAGGATGTAGAAGCTCAA